CTGGGCTGCTATTAGGCTGGCCTCAATAAGGAAAAAAAGACATGCAAAGAGTGAGCACCCATTTTTTTACTACCAGGTCCAAATGTAGCCTGGAGTGGTCAGTTTTAATTGGGGAAATGGTGCGGAGGAGAAGAGTTAATATTAGAATTAAAGATGGGAACCTTGTTGCTTTCGAATGAAGAAGTAAACACTCATCTCCTCAGTTCCACAAGAGGCCTTACTCTGCTATAAGCACAAGGTTATATGAGAGGTAGTAAGTTAGGAGTACAAGAGAAAATAAAACAATCACATCAGTCCACGATGTGTGTAACTGCAGACAGGTACGCTATTTCCAGGAACAGTCATAGCTGGAAAACTAATGAAAACCGGTGCTGCCCACATCTGTTAGCTGAGTACCACTAGCTACAAACTTGATCTTCCAGAGGGTGTGTGCCCTCATTCAAAACAGGTCATCAGGCTATTCCTGAATTGGTTTTACCACCAGTATAGCACTTCTGTCTTGTTTAGAGTTAACCTTAAATTTGTTCGCTGCTATCCAGGCCTCCACTGACTCCTGAGACAAGTTCAGGGTTTCTACTTTTTCTTGGGCATTAGATGGCAAGAAGAAATATTAATAGACTCATCAGCCAATTGATGACAACACAAACCAAATCTCTTGGTGACAGGGTTGACAACAACCTGGGGGAGGGGGAATGTCCTGCCCCCTTAACAGAGGATTAATGGGATGCTTAACAGAGGATTAACAGAGGATTAGGAGCTGCGGTGGCTCAAGTGGTTAAGACGCTGAACTGCAGACTGTAGAAGGTCTGTAGTTCAGCAGTTCGAGACCCAAGTGTGCCGCATGACGGAGTGAGCTCCCGTCTCTAGTTCCAGCTCCTGCCAATCTAGCAGTTCGAAAGCAAGAAATTGCAAGTAGATAAATAGGTACCACTTTGGTGGGAAGGTAACAGCATTCCATGCGCCTTGGTGTATAGTCATGCCGGCCACATGACCACGGAAACGTCTTCGGACAGCACTGGCTCTACGGCTTTGAAACGGAGATGAGCACCACAACCCTAGAGTTGGACTCGACTGGCTTTCGAGCAAGGGAACCTTTACCTTTACTTAACAGAGGATTAATGTGATGCTGTTTACCTTCATGCCATGACAAGTTTTTCCTACCCCCTTCCACACATTATGCCCTCTCCTCTAATAGAGGATGACTTCTCTCAGTAATTTCATGTAGGTATAAAACAGCATACCCTGACCTGGCTAGCCCAATCTTGTCAGATCTTGGAAGTTAAGCAGGGTTGCCCCTGGCCAGTATTTGAACGGGAGACCACGCAGCAGCATAAGGGACGATGGAATCCTGAAGCACTTTTAGTAGCCAAGGAGTGGAACAAGAGTCTTCCAGCACCTCCTTCTGAGACAAACCCATCAGAAAGGAGCAGAACCATTGCAGGACTGCCCCCAGA